AAAATAATTATATTGAAAATGTTGGTCAAAATTGAGCACTATGGATAAATTCCATAAAGATTTCCGGGGGGTGGGGGAGGGGGGAAGAAAGTCAATGCTAGGGCCTTTCCAGTAGGTCAGAAGGTCAGATCAGTACCTCACCTCTGAATCTCAAGTTTGTGTGTGTGTGTGTGTGTGTGTGTGTGTGTGTGTGTGTGTGTGTGTGTACACATACTAACTTGAAATTCAACACGCACACACACATATACATGCATACATACTTACTAACTTGAGATTCAGAGGTGAGGTACTGATCTGATACTATATAGGGGCTACATTCCATACAATAAAATAGACTGTAGGTAAGGTCTATATATATATATGGAGGGGGAGGGGGGGGGAGAGAGGGAGAGGGAGAGAGAGAGGGATATATTCTCTCTCTCTCTCAATGCACTAACTTGAGATTCAGAGGTGAGGTACTGATCTGCTTGTGACTTAACAGGTGGCATGTCTTTACATCATTTCCCTCACCAGCTACAATAAGATTGTTAAACTTGCTTTTAAAAAACGAAACCCATGTTTCCTTAGGAATGTAAGTATTGGGGATTGAGATAGATAGATATCCCAGAGCCTCATTGATATTTAGTCAGATTACTTAAGAGTTAGTCAATATGGCTGTTTGCAGATGTGGAGAAAAAACAAACAAACGGTGCTTTACTTGAAACTCGGCGCACTTCTGTGCGGAGTCCAGCACAGAAAAAGCAGCGCGTTAATTGGACCTGGCTTTCCCAATGTCTACATAGATCGGGCACTTTAGTAGGCTGTTTTGGTGCTTTTATCTAATTGCTGAGAGAATCGGAGATTAGATAAAAGTACCAAAAAAGCCCCACTGAAGCACCCAATCTATACACATGTTGTGGAGCCAGGTTGAAATAATGCACTGCTGCTTCCAGTAAAGCGTGGGTTTTTGGGGGGTTGGGGGTTGTTTTTTTTCAAAGTCTGTCAGTGCCTTATATTTGGTAATGTAAATCAAAGCCTATACATTCAAATGATCTTGAAAATGTTGTAATTACAGGAAATAATGTTGACTGAAGATTTCAGGCACTTAGACTTTTGGTTAATGTATCAACATTGAACGTGAATTCATTTACTTTAAATATTATTCCTCATATTAATGCATCTGTTAATTTCTCACACCTTGTATTGATCAATGTCATCTTGTACTACATCTTAATTTTATTAAATCTACCTCAGAGCAATTGTTCTTTTGAAAAACATGACATAGACATAGGTCCTGTCTTGGTCCATGTTCTTAAAATAATTGAAATTAGGGCAATTTCAACTCTGAATAAGGTGTACACTAATTACACAGTACCTTTTCATTTTATAGCCACTTTTTTATTTGACATGAAAATGAAATATCATGTCTGTACTGTGGTCACACCTACACTGCAAACTTCAAGTGCTCAACTATGCGTGTACGTAGAGTCTCCCAAATGAAAAGTATCAGTGTTGTATTTGCATGGTGTTGCCAGTGGCCTAGTTAGTGTGGCCATAGCACTGTGGAAGCACAGCTGTTTTGCTTCTGGGGAGATTATGCATGTGGAACAATGCCTTGTGTGTAAGTATGCCACTGCCAGCCACAGTAACTCTACCCTATTAAGGAGGGTACAGTCCCAGCAGTTCCCTGAAATATCCACTCAAGGGCTAAGTACAGACATTGGGGGGGAGGTAGGGGGATGTTAGATTGAGTTCAGAATGGCCACCTGATGTAACTTAGTTCACCCCAGTGTGGACCTTACACTCAGACACAGTTTCAGTGATCAGAAACAAATCTAAACCCATAAATGTACAGAAGTTCCATGTACACAGACCAGTCTAAAAATGGCCAAACCCAGTCTGAGAGAGACCTGGATCAATGTACACTCAAACATAATCAAAGTTAGACCAGTGCATGGAACTTCTGTACAGTTCCCTGCACAGCCCCAGGACTAGGAAAGCAACCACCTACCCAAGTCCTCAACCCCAGGGTTGGGAAAGCATTCACTGCCCCCACTGGGGCTGTGCTGTTTCAGGCCTGCTCACCTGGGACTTGGCTATTTTTAGCCTCCTGGCCCCTCATGCCCTCCCACGTTCTCCCTATCCCACATGCTGCTCCCCACGTTCACTGGAGTGACGTTCACTGCTGCCGGATCCGAGTAAGTCTGTCCCAGTGAGGGGAGGGGCTGGAGGGATGGGGCCAGGTTCACCGGGGTCTTGGGAGCTAAAAATAGCCCCGGTCCCCCCTCAAGTCCTTCCATAGAGCCTGCAAGTCTCTCTGATCCCATTAGACCCTCCCAGACCCCAGTAACCCACCCTCTATGAACCCCTGCTGCCCCCCGATCTCCCTCATCGCCCTGCAGGTTGCCTACCTCTCCACACTCTCCCCACTGATCACTCCTGCCTTCCACCCCTCTGCTGATCATACCTGCCTTTTCATCCCCTGGCAGACCCCCAATTTTCCCCTCCTCAGCCTACTTGCCTCCACATCCCCGCAATCCCCTCTCTTCCCGCTATCTCTCCATCCTGACTTACCTTGGATCAGGTGGCCATTTTGAATCTGATCAAATCTCCCCCTAACATTCCCAAATATCTGTACTTAGCCTAGGACAATAAGATCTTCTAAAACTTCAGTTACTTGGAAACTCAAAGATATATAGTAACATGTTTATATTTCATCATGATGACTAATTTTTAGGGTATAGTTTGTGGATTCCATTAGAGCTTTTTCTGCTTGATGCCATTTGAATGTATGGGAGGTTCCCAAAAATAGGTGGGAGTCATTATAAAAAAATTAATAAAGATTGTGGATAATTCCATTAGTTTTTAAATTGATTGAAGACAGTTACTACTACTTTCTCAGTAATATTTTTATCAGAAAGTTCAGTGAATATTATCAAAGTTATGTCTCATTTTCTAATGTTTTACACATCTGATTTTAGCATCATGTCACTGGTCCTCCACTATCCTAATCTGCTTTGTTCTTACCAGTGGATGGATTGTAGAAATGCACAAGCATTTCTGTATCTCTGCAAATTTTAACAACCTATTGGAACAGAGGGATGCAGCTGATGGAATGCGCATACTAGTCATCAGAAATTACCTAGTGACATGCTCTTGGTTTTTGCTATATTGCATGTTTTTGGCGAATTTAGGACTCTGACTCCTGAATATTTCTGTAAGTAAAAGCATATTGTATATTTGTTCAGATAAGGTAAACTTGAAGCATCTCAACTAAGAAGGCAGGTAAAGCACTTATATAACCCAGAAACCTCTGTTTCACTGAGCTTCAGGGACATTTGAGGGTATTTTTCTTTTGTTTTGTTTTGATTTTTTTAACCTAATGTCTTTTTAGCTATCTGTATTTCCTGTCATATGGTGAGTGAATCTTATAAAGGAGGGGCACTTGTTTCTTGCTCTTACACCTTGAATTACTGTAGTCCAGGGGTAGGCAATGTTTTTTGGCCAGAGTGCTGAAAAACACCACAATGTCTACCTCAGAAGGTGCTGCAGTGCCGGCATGGCAGAAAAACAAAATGAGGGCAAGGGGTACATAGCAGGATGCTCTGCTTGTGTCCCTTGCACCCCATCCAAAGCCCCTGCCCCCCAGCCCAGGCTCTGTGGCTGCCAGCAGCTACTCCGGCTCTGGGTAGCTCTTGGAGCGCGGGCTGCTCACAGCAGGGTTTGCAGCATCCCAGCTGCCTGCTGGGAGCAGCCTGGGATCTCAGCTGGCAGCAGCTCCTCAGAGCTGGGGCAGCTGCAGCCGGCAGGCTCCAAACAGCTGTTCCGGGCTCCAGCATCAGCTTCCCACTGGCGCGTGCAGGTGTGCCTCTGAGTGGGCTGTGGGGGAAGGGCTTGAGGCAGCGCAGCCCTGGTCTCTCCCCCACTCCCGGCATGGAAGTGATGAGCCTGGCGCAGCTGTTTGTAGCCAGCCCACTGCTCATCACCTCTGAGCCGGGAGCGGGGGAGAGACTGGGGCTGCGCTGCCTCAGGCCCCCCCGCACAACCACTCACTCCGAGGCGCGCCTGCATGAGCCGGTGCGGAGCTGGTGTCGGAGCCCAGCACCGCTGTTTGGAGCTCCCGGCTGCAGCCGGCCCAGCTCTGGGGAGCTGCTGCCAGCCGGGATCCTGGGCTGCTCCCGGCAGGCAGCTGGGACGCTGCAAGCCCTGCTGGGAGCAGCCTGGGCTCCGTTGCTGGCAGCAGCTTCCCCGAGCTGGGGCTGGCCATGGCGTGCCAAGCAAAATGGCCTTGCATGCCACGCTCGGCACGCGTGCCAGGGGTTGCTGACCCCTGCTGTAGTCCATAGAGTTGCTGGGTCATCCTCCTTTTATTAATACAGTGTTTTGTAAAAGAAGAAAATATTTTTTCTCTTATCTAGATTTTAGAATATTAATTGTATACATAGTAATTCTGAACCTCTTCCTACATCTATTTCGTAAACTACTACCTAAAAATTATCTTGCTTGTGTTATGTCTTAGAGTTGCTAGCACTAAGATTTAAAGAAAGAAGATAAAAATTGATGTTAGCATATGTTAACATATAAAATGTACTTCTAATATACCCTGCCTTGGATTTTTCCTCAGGTAATCTAGGTTGAAGTACAACAGAAACAAGCAGCTTGCTGTTAGGAAATTATTTCTAGCTGTAGCTTTCCACCCCCCTCCACACTGATCCTAAAATCCTTCAGAAGTTTACTGGTAAACAGAAAGACTTGTAGAAAATTAAACAAGGAACTCAAATGGTACTATATATTAAATATGCTTGTGTCCAAGTAGATGTTGTGTCTTGGTTTTACGTGATGTAACACCTAAAATTTTTACCAGGCTTCTAATTTTGCAACATACAATGCATTACATTAATTTAGATTTGTTACCCTGAAAAACTGTTGTAATGACACCAACAAATTTCTTTGTATTTTGCATTGTAAGGCTAAATTCTTGGAGCTGATCTTTCATCATTTCTGTATTACTTTTGCTATAGGATGTCAGCTGCAATGAAATCACAGCTTTACCACAGCAGATAGGTCAGTTGAAATCTCTAAGAGAACTGAATATCAGAAGAAATTACCTCAAAGTTTTACCACAAGGTAAAAACAAACCTCCTCCCCCCCACTTTAAAATTCTTTTTATTTGGAATGTTGAAAATTTGCATGCGTTTGATTGTGTAAATCAATAAGTTTAAAAATACCAATTTTCTTGTGTTAAAATTTGTTCCATTTCAAGTTACTGTCCATTAAAAGAATTGCAACATTTTTACTTTACAAGGAGAAGCAGTGTGCAGTTTCTATTTTTTAATGCGATGTTTCTTTTATGATTGATATTGCCTTTAAAGTATTAGCTAAATAGCATTTGATAACGAATAGCATGGAAGCAGATCCTGAGCTACTGTAAGTTGTTACAGCTTCAGAATATTCTGAATGTCTTTTTCTACTGTCCGAGCCTAGCAATCTCTGTGTTTCCCTTCTCACGATGGATCTGCAACACTTGATACCAGTTGAGGATTTGCATCACAGAATCTTAGAATTAATTTAACCATCTTGAAGCAAAATATAAGGTGGACTTAAAGGATAATATCCACTCACCTGTTGTTTCCTAGTATTTGATTGTCAGGCCACCAGTAAACTGTTCTGGAGCAGTTTTGACATGATTCTTATGAAGTAATGGCATATGGAGATACATACTCACTAAAACAAACTGTAGCAATGCTTGATGCATACCTCTTGTCTGTGAAGCCTGAAGTAAATTGGAATTTACAAGGATATTGGAATAGGATATGTTTGAGACCAACTCCCTCTCTCCATGAATTCTGCCTGACGGACTAATGTTCAAATTCTTACTCAGATAAAAATTTCTGATACATTTAAGTACAGACCAGATTATTCAACAGTCTCACATTTTTTATTGATAAGGAGAACCCTGAAAAATAATTGGATTCAGTAGTAAAGTTTTCCAGCAAAAGGGAGCATAGTTACTCAGTCTGGCTCTGATTCGTATTAGTCATTGATAATGTGATAGGAAAAGTGATGAATACATTTAGTTCATTTTACTTGCAATTTAATCCCATTTCCATCCCTTTTATGGAAACATTACCTTCAGAGAGATCCTGTCAAAATTCCCTAAGTCAGTAACTTGAGATGCTGAGGCTTCCTTTGGAGAGCCATGCTTCTTTTCTAGCATAGTCTAATCCCCAAAAAATAGTTCCATCAGAGCAGTTTAAAGCCACTGCCTGCCTGTTCTCCTTCAGAGAATGCATACAATATATTTTACCCAATCTTAGTAACAGTCCTTCCTACTTCTAGAAATGAAAGTTTGAGAGCGTGCTTTTTATTTAATGTGTTTATGGAATTTCTTTACAACCCTGTTTGAGATTATAGAATTTATAGATTGAAATAGCCAAGCGTTCCTTTACAGCATGAGAGGTATTGGATTTTATTTCAATCAGCTGTCAGTATAGTAGCTTAGTTGGCCTAGATACTTGAAATTGCTGAGGTTTGCCCATGTCAGTATGTAGAGACTGTTAGAATATATTTTTATGTGAGGGCCTGCAAAATATATATATATTAAGTTACAAGATTGTACACATGCTTAGAAGATAAATTGGATTTAGTGTACTGTGGAACTGTTACTTCTTCTCATTAGAAGTGGCGTAATCAGTAGTTGATTCATTTATTTTGTGTAAAAAAATAATATAATAACTATGATCTTTCTGTTACTTTTAGAACTAGTAGATCTTCCCTTGGTAAAATTTGACTTTTCCTGCAATAAGGTGCTCGTGATTCCAGTTTGTTTTAGAAAGATGATGCAGTTACAAATATTATTGCTTGAGAATAATCCTCTTCAGTCACCACCAGCCCAAGTAAGTAACATCTGTTGTTCAAATTCTTCTTTTAGCATGAGAGCAGAAGTATAGCAAATGCCAAACACAGTCTGATTTAATTACTGCAGTATAAAACTACTTTATTTCTTGTTTTTCAAGATTGTCAGCCCAGCAGTGATCTATACATTTTAAATTTTACAGCCATAGATTTAGCTAGGTTTTTTCTTTTTGAGATACAAATGCATGGTAGATAAAATACATCTTCTCAACTTCTGCACTTGCACATGCTACATCTGAAAAAAGAGCTTAGAAGATTCTGCCTTTTAAACTGCAAGTGCATTATTTGTAGGGCTTTATTCTGCTTTCTCTATTTGTTCACTACTTAATGTTTAATGAACAGGATATTGTATATTGGTGGAGGGGATCACTGCAAATTTTCTGGATTAACCTCTATTCCATAGCTATAGCAGATGAGTCGAGACACTATTTCAGAAACTTTGGATGTGATTTCTACCATTATGTCACAGGTCACTAATACATGCAGCCTAGAGAATAACCCAATTAAAACTTTTATCTGTAAAGCCTCTTGTATAGGATGCACATAGGAACTAATGGGTTGCATCGCTAAACATGTCCCACATTGAGGTACTTAAATGCCGGTTAACCCAGCTTTTACTGTACTTAGGTTATCTTCTGCTGGACACTGTTTTCTGCTGTTGCTTTGACTCAGTAAATGACAGATTCTAACTATTTTTTTCAAGTGCTAAAATGAGTGTTCATTGACAATTGTTATTTGCATACAATAAAAATAGAAGATCAGTTGCTTGAATAAGCAAAATGTGTTCTGTTTTATATTAACCCTACAGCCCGTTTAAAAGCAAGGTAAAACTGATGCTCATGTTAGACACTACATCACAGAAAAACTCTTAGATGTAAATAGCTGTCTCAAAAGTGTATAGACATTTTGTAAAGAAATTATCGCTAAATGTAAAGGGGCATGTTAATAACCCTTTCAGTTTAATTTAAAATAATCATTTTCATGCTTACTTAGAAACGACAGAATATATGTTATGTAATATTTCTCGATTGGGGAAAATATGTACATTACTTGTAGACTGTCAATATTGAATAGGTTGATATGATCCCTTCTTGTGTGAATTTTCATCATTTTTGATGTCAGAGAGGCTTTATATTACTCTGAATTTGTTTTGTCTAGTTGACGTAAACTTTTCTTTGTCCAGACCCTCTTGAATTACAGTGGGTCTGCTGCAGTTAAAACTTTCATTGTTTTGAATATTACTATTCAACTACTTCTCTAAAATAGCAAAATATACATTGTGACTTTTTAAAAAAGTGGAAATCTAAGAGAAAATGTCCTACCCTGTCATTTTGAACAAATCTTTTCTTCCAACTTTTTTCCCCTCATCCAAATAGATTTGCACAAAGGGTAAAGTGCACATATTCAAATACCTGAGCATACAGGCATGTCAGATTAAAACAGCAGACTCGCTTTATCTTAATGCCATAGAACGCCCGCACTTGCAACAACCTGTGGAGGAGAGGTAAGTATAAAGAGCTTACACTCAAGTATTTCACATATGTTTTTGGAGACTAGAACAAGCAGAATACATTTTCTATTCCATTTTTATTCAACTATGTAACCTTTTGAATGAAAGTTTGATCCAAATTAATATATTTTATTCCAGAAAAACCCCTGTTATAATTTAGAATAAATATGATATTTATGTGATTAATATGATTTTTAGTAGTTATGAAATATCACCCTTCCCACATATGATAACCATGTTATTTAATGAAGGCATTTTATTGTTTGTGTTGCATGCAACCTTAACTCCATTTTATGAATTAATTAGCAAAAATATAATATTTAAAGACTGAATGAGAAACACAAAATAATGCTACAAGTTGTATTTCTAATGAATAAGTTAATAACTTTTTGATTTTGTTAAAATGTTAACTTTTAAGGGCAAGTCCACTGGTACACTGGGACAGTAAAAAGCAGTCACAACCTATTGCTCTTTCTTCTGTTTTATATCCCTAGAGCAGCCAAGGTAGCCAAAGTATATTGGTAAATCAGGCCTTTAGTTTCACATAGCTTACTGGTTGAGAAGGCAGTGTAATGTAATATAATATATATTTTATAATATACTTTCTGAATTGTTACATGTGCTTTGAAAACAAATGTCCTTTTCATTTACTAGCATCTTTACTAGCCACTTTTATTTATTTATTTAGCACATGCCAATCCACAGAGCCAAGCAGTAGCCAGTGAGAAAACAAAATGTATGGAAAAAGAATAAAAATAGTTCATGCTATTGAGAATAATCTTTTGGTTAAAGGTTTTTAAATAAACACATAACTTTGCAGACATTTAAACAGACTATTTTCACAGGCAATCACAGTGTTTACTGACAACAGATGGTGAAAGATTAGACCTAATAAGAGACCTGGCTCTTAGAAAGTCTTAAAATGTCATTTTACATTTTCTTGATAAACATGTTTAGCTTGAATGAAACTGTTTGTTATGCCTAAATGATAGATTTAAACATGATTTAGAACTTTAATTTCATAACTAGAAAAAATCTGTGTTGAAAATCTGTGATTTTTAATTTCATAACTAGGAAAAAAAACTGCGATGAAAAATTGAAATAAGATATGATGATAATTGCACTATCATAATAAAAAGGAGAATATGACAGACAGTTACTATAGAATGAGTAATGGTCATATTTGGCAATAAAAACAGAGCAAAAAGAACCTGACATTACTATAATTCCCTTCTTACATCATTAACCAACAAAGATTGTTTTGAAGTTAATGCACATCAAAATGGTTCCTATGTCATAATTACTTTACATTCCAGAGATATACAAGAACTCTGGAATATTAGTTAGTTTTTAGTTTTTTAATTCTAAGATTACAGTTCAGTTGACTCTAGTCTGAGTTCAGCATTTTGGTTGATCTGAAGTCAGTTCAGGAATTTAAATAGTATTAGTGGTGCTAAACTACTAGCTAACAACTAGCAAATTTTACCTTCTGTGAGAGCAAAAATGACTTTACTGTAGATTGTGTCTCAGTCTTAATAAATGTTTTAATTGTACTGCCAGACATCTTTATTGAATAACTTGTGGAGTGTTATGTCTGATCCATTTTCAAATGAATTTTTGCCCAACAATATCTTAAATGTGTTTTATTAGCATAGTAAGTATCTGATTCTGTGTCTTGGAAGACATTAGTTTTACCATTGACTTCCGTGATACCAACGGAAGGCTCAAGTTACATACTAAGAGAGTTTTCTGTTGGCTTTTATTTACGTTTAGCATGGATGACATCTATCCAAATAAGAAGGATTCTGATTCGGGTGTTGGTAGTGATAACGGCGATAAACGCTTGTCTGCTACAGAGGTAAACTGTCTGCATTATTGCTCTTCAGTTATTTTGGCTTATACTTGCAGTTGGATAAGTTTGTAAAATGTTCTTTTAGAACTCAGAAACATGCAGCCCAACCTTTGTCAGCACTGTTTGCAACAGTAGAGTTGGAAACAATGAGGGTAAAAAGCAATTTTTATTCTGGATACCTTCTGAGGAAGGAAGTCAAAACACTGATTTCAGGTAGTTTAACAGTCCATTACTGAATAACAGAAATTCATCAGAAATGGATTACTGTTTCTTAGGCAGGATTTTGGAATGTGCCCAAAATAGCCCAGTTCGTGGAAATTAGCCTTCTCATATGGCATTTTTTAAAATCTAACACTTGATACATAGTTGTTGTTAAAGCAGTGCAAAGTTGTGTGTCTTCAATAGAATTAAATGTGAAGTTCTTCCTTCTGCCATCCTTGTGTTTACTTTTTAATCCTTGGTGATCATTTCACTACCCAAAATGCCACTTGAAATCACAGACGTAATGCTTATAGCTGCTTTGTAATGCTTTTTTAATTTGGCTGTTTGATTCTGTAAATATTAATGAAAACGGATGCTAGAATGACACTGTCTCTGAAATGATATTTTTAGAAGCCCTGAATTGAGAATTGATCTTTTTGAGGCGTATGTTCCAAAAAGTTACTTTGGAATTGGTTGACTGAGATTCAGAATGTCGTATTTTTGAAAGAAAAAGAAGGGTAGGCAATAGGGTGAGTGTCTGGGGAAGGAAGAAGGTATTGTAAAAACAGTAGTATAGAGAAACTGAAACCAGAGGAGTTAAGGAGAGAGAATAAAAAGGAACAAATGGCAAAGAGTGTGAAAGAGAATGGGAATTGTGTAACTAAGGCCACATATGGATATTCAGTTTCTCCTGGGAGAATCACTGCTCTCCCAGGAAAAATCTTAAGTGTATAGATTTCAGGATTTTTTTCCCAGAGCAAAAATGATTGCTCCAGGAGAAAAATAACCTGGCAACAATCAGGGTTAAATCGCTCCCAGGAGTAAATGAGAGAGAGAATGTCTCTATATGTTCTCTTCTTAGAGATGCCATAGCACAGACCTCTAGTATCCCAGGGTGCTTTGCTTCTATCTCTCTCTCCCCCACCTCCTGGGATACAGTGTGTCACTCATTGGATTCTACTAAGTCCAAGAAGGGAGCAGAACATATCCCTCTTCACAAAGCTCACATTATATTGCCAGGAGATGAAGGCTGACTGAGCAGTCTAGGTCAGCCAATCAGCACTACCATATGCACTGCTGCCATTCTGTCTCCCAGCAGACTGAGGGAGCTTGCAGAGCACACTGAGATGTGTGCACAGGGGCCCCTCGCTGTGCAGTATCTGCACTGTTAATCTCTTTATTCTTTAAGCGCTCAGCATTTGGATGTCTATTCAGGTGTCTCTGGGTAAGTTTTTTCTACCAAGAGAAAAAAACCCGAGAGAATTTTCCCAGATTAGTTGAACATGTGTACATTGCCTATGTTAACTGTGTAATACAGTTCACAGTTTATCCTGTCTTTCAGATTATAAGGGGCATGCCTTTGTTTTTGTACAGCATGTACCACTCCCACATTATTGATCCTAAGTAATAAAATGTAATATCACATAGTAGCATAATAAATGGTAAATGTTTTCCTTTTCATTTTTGTGGAAAGGCTGGTGTCATTTTCTAATGTTTTCAAAAGTAACAAATACCTCTTTTAATAGGAAGGTGGGTAGCCTCCCCTGATCCTAGCTGTGACCCACCTTTGCACACTAGGAACCCTTACATGGACATCTGCGGATTTACTCTTTTTTTGTGGGTCCCACAATCATACTGTTGAAGGGTAGTGAAAAAGATCAGCACATGGGGCACACTGGGTATGTCTGCTTAGAATAATAATGTATCTGAGCTAATTGATAGGACTGTGTGAAGCTTTGGTCCCTGATTCTATTCGGCCTGATTCGGTGGCCAAATCTCCAAATTGAATCAGGACACCCTTTAATCTCTCCGAATTGAATTGGAACCCTCCAAATTGATTCGGAGAAATTCAGAAAGATTTGGCGATTCGAACATAGACACAGCTTTAAATCTTTTTTCTAAATACCTCAAGGTACCAGACAGCTCATGAACACTGCGATGCTGGGATGAATGGAACATCCCACAGGGCATGGGGGGCTCCCCAGTGTGCTTGGCAGCAGATCTGGAAGTGGACCAGAAGCACTTCTTTTCCACTTCCAGGTCCTCCAGAGAGTGCGCGGGGGGGCCCCCCCTGCGCCCTCCTGGCTCAGCAACTGGTGCCCTTTGGGTCTGGGGGGGGGCACCTGGGGGCCCCCCGCAGCCGATCGCTGAGTTCGGAGGTTGTGGGGGTGGGGGGGCTCTCCCCTTGCTCACTGCCCGGCGGACCTGGAAGTGAACTGGAAGTATTTTCAGTCCACTTCTGGGTTCGCCACTGAGCATGCAGGGGGCTCCCCCACACTCCTGTGGGATGCTTCATCCACCTCAGCATTGCAGGGTTCATGAGCTGCACCTGGTACCTTGAGGTATGAAGAAAAAACATTTAAAGCTGTGCCTATGGGCGAATCACTTATTCCCGAATCAGCATTGAATCTTCAGATTCGGCCGAATCGAATCGGGGACAGTGATCCAAATCAACTAATCAAATCACTGTCCCCGATTCAGGCCGATTCCAAATCGAATACTGCCCGTTTTGCACATCCCTACTAACTGAATGTAGGACCTTGGCTACTGAAAGTAGTGCTGACACTCCACCCAAGCTAATTAACACTGCTGAGAAGT